GACAGAATCTACGATTGTCTGCCTCAAGCGGTTTATCACCCGTGCTACTGCATATGCACCCACTCTAACGTCAACAGAGGATTGCAAAGGATTCTTTTTATGAGGAACTGGATAATGCAGTGAAAGCAATTCCAAAATCTGACGGCATCTGGTAATCTTAGTTTCAACTTCATGGCAAACGGGTCACCCCATCTTTGCTCCGCTCCTGTGCTAAAGAAAAACACACAGAATGTTTATCACAGTCCCTTGTGGAAAGATTGACAGACTGCCGTCTCAGAAAATCTAGCATACACACGCATTAATGCATATGGTAGCCATCCGAAGTGCTAACACAAACAGTCTGACGTTAGAAATGCAGTTTATCATTGATGGTAGCAGAAGACACCAAAAGATCAGCTGTTGCACACGCGATCAATTTTAATCACATAATGGCCCCACCAACATTGCGACAACCGGCAGTGCGCCATTTTCTGAATCTAGAATTCACACCACCACGTTGGTCACAGTAAAAAATCATTCCAGATTAAATCTGCAGCTCACAGTGTCACGCCATGCACTCAACTCAGAAGCTGGGAAACGAAACTATATCCTTCCAGTTTCTACAAATGGAGCAAAAATGCAACGGCCACTGTCTGGCAGAAGCAAAAATATTTGCCACGGCTAAAAACAGTGGCCGTGCCTAGTGTCCATTAGGACCTGAAGCATTATGTGAGGGTTAATAAATGGTCACCTCAGCAGTACCCTAACTATTAGCTGGGGAAGGGACTTAAGACATTACATTCACCAGCAAGCGTGCCCCAACAATGACCTGACTGCCTTCGTTAACGCACGGCCAACTCTAGGTATAATATACAGCCGGAAGTGGTTGCCGAACAGCCATGCAGTTCTTTGGCACGAAGGAGACACCTTGACGGCATCTATGTACTTAGGGATTTTAATGCTCGCGTAGGGTCAGACTCAAACTCATGGCCAGTTTGTCTTGGAAAATATCATGTTGACCATATGAATGAAAATGGACAGAGACTACTGGAATTCTGCACTAGAAGTGACTTGTGCATCACAAATTCCTTTTTCAAAACTAAAGCCCGCCATAAGGTGTCATGGAAACATCCAAGATCTGGCCATTGGCACCAGCTGGACCTTATTCTCACAAGGAGGCAGCACTTAAACTGTGAATCACTAACTCGCAGCTACCACAGTGCTGACTATGACACTGACCATTCCCTGGTTGCTTCAAAAGTTTGGATAAAACCAAAGAGATTTGTCACTTCAAAACAAAAACATATCCGTAGGTTAAATATTTCCAAAACTAAGGACCCTGAAAAGTGTTTTGAGTTTCAACAACAGCTTGAAGATGCTTTCACTGATATCCAGAATAACTCTATAGCAAGCCAAAAACGGGATGCAATTAAGGAGACTGTTTAAAAAACAGCTGTATCAGTCTATGGGATTAGAGAACACACAAGTAAGGATTGGTTTGAAGCAAATAGCCAGACACTCCAACCTTTAATTGACAGCAAAAAGTTAATACTCCTCAGGAACAAGCAAAGAACAAGCTATACTTAGTTGTCACTAAACTAGTAGATAGTGCTCTTAATGCCATGGAGACGCTACCAACTTTTGACTATCTGGACACATTTCCAACAGTTGTAGAAGTTGGGAATGCTATTGACAAATTGGCTTTGAGGAAAGCCCTAGGCAGAGATGAGATTCCTATTCAGATAATCAGGAGTCGGAAAGTGATTCTAACCCCACACATTCATCAGCTTATAACATTCTGCTGGCAAGAGGAGGTTCCACAAGATTTCAAGGATGCAAGCATCATGACTGTACAAGAACAAGCGTGATCAGAGTGACTGCAACAAACTCAAGGGTTGAGAATTGACATCACATCATTGGGGGCATTCCCATGAGTGCTCCGTGCTCATCTTCGGCAGCTAGCGCAGAGTTCTAATACTGATGGCACCGGTCACAATCTGGTTAAATATCTGTCTTGCCTTTCCTCTGAGTGTAGTGAGCCGGCCAGACCCTCTGGTTACACGCAGGTGCCTCATTCTCTCATGGCCATAATAATCTTGTTTCTCTACTGATTCCGTTGCTTATTCTCAAAGGACCTTGACCACACCGAAGAAGATTGTATGTCCACCTACTCTGCTGAGCATTATGGAGTCATTCCATACAGGTATGAAAGGAACAATCAACTTTGAGGGTGTAACATCGGAGGAGTTTGTAATGTAAATTAAGTAAAGCAGGTGTGTTTACTTGCTCCTATCCTCTTTGGAATATACTTTTCACTTCTTTTGGAACATGCCTATCGAGGTCAGGAGGGTGGTATATTCATCCATTCTGGATCTGATGGCCGCCTTTACAATGCTCGCAGGCTGAAGGCCAAAACCAGGATAAGAAAGCTACTGATCAGAGAGCTGCTGTTTGCAGATGATGCCGCAATAACCACCCACTCAGAGGAGGAGCTGCAATGTTTACTATCTGCCATTGCTGATGCATACTGTGAATTTAGACTAACAGTCAGCAAAAAGAAGACAAAGGTTATGGTGCAAGGTCTTAATGATAGACCTACAATCTACATTGAGGGCGAAGAGCTGGAGACAGTAGACCATTTTACTTATCTGGGTTCCACAGTTAATAACAAACTATCGCTGGACCAAGAAATCCACATAAAAAAATAGGTAAGGCAGCAACAACAATGAGCAGATTGATAAGAAAGTTGGGAGAACAGAAAGCTCACAATTAAAACAAAAAACCCTGTCTGTCAGGTTTGTGTTCTCGGCACTCTGCTTTGGCAGTGAAACTTGGTCAACTTATTCGCACCAGAAGAGACGGCTAAAAAACTTTCACGTGGGATGCCTAAAAGAAAAATACTTGGCATTAAGTGGCAGGACAAAATCACAAACACTGAGATACTGAAAGAGCAGGTACTACAAGTCTTCTCAATGCTCAGTCTATGAAGGCTCAGGTAGCTGGGTCACACCTGGAAAATGGAGGATGGCAGAGTCTGTAAGGACATCTTATAGTGAATTAAAGACGGGTAGAAGATGTCAAGGCTGACCTCTACTATGGTATAAAGACGTTTGCAGGCGGGACATGAATGATACATGTGTTGAGATGGACTTATGGGAACAAAATGACATGGACTGTGTTGTGTGGAGAGTGCATATCAGGAAGGGAATGAGAGTAAAGGAAAAAATGATTGCTGAAACGATGAGATCTCATCGTCTGAGAAGAAATGGATTAAACACAAATGTTGACAACAATGATCCATAGGTCCTCCTCAAAAGCTCCACACGCGTAAAGAGGTTGATGTCACCTGTTCTGTGTTGATTAATCAGACGTCTTGTCCCCTTGGTGAAATGTTCCTTTCTTGCAGCTCCAGGTTGTGCACCTATGTCCACCAGACTCGACAGTAATACAGAGTCATGCATTTTGCTGTATTCACCCTTGCATTAAGTGCTACACAGTACTGGACGAGCCACAGCAACTGCAGTGCCTGCCATAAAATCTGCATGATTGTCACCTCAATCACCAGCACAAAGATGAATGTTATGTAGTACAAGAGTGAACCGCCTAATTTCCATGACAAGAAGATTATAGTAGAAAGGTCTGCTTAATACATTATTACAGATTTGAGTGCCTCTTATTACTCAAGTATACCACACACACAAATCTAGTCACTGTATCTAGCCAATGAATCAAGAATTGATATCACTACACATAGGACATTCCCACACATGCTCCATCTCCTTCTTCAGTAGCCATCAGAATCAGCTGCAACCTGATAAGTCTTCTTGTTTTCCACTCAGTGTTTAACATCTTCCAAAACCTCTACATCAGAGGTTCTCAAACTGGGATGTCGCACGCAAGCGTATGCCAGGGTTGCCGCCGTAATAATCAAGAATTTTTCAAAAGTCTGCTCGAGATAATCAAAGACAGCAGTTTAAAACCAAAAAAAAAAACCAGAAAAATGCAGTGCATTCTCAGTGTATGCCTACATTATAAAAAAAAAAAACAGAAGCAAACTTTCTGGGTCACGTGATTTGAAGGTACAATTGACTAAACTTTCCATAAACATCAAGGAAATAATGAGAAATTCATCCAGTTTCATTCATAGCATTAAAGAAAACGTAACATTATTAATCTGCACCTTTTTTCCATAAGATTTCAAACTGCTTTAAGGGTAGTAGGTGTGTAGCAAATTTTTTTTTGCCCGACAAGGGTGACGCTGCTTTACACAACCCCACTGAATTAGTCTTTCTGTGCATGGATTCTTTGTCTGTTCTGTTGCACTGTCCATTTGATCCCAGATAGTCTTCACCATGTCCGCTTCATCATAAAGTAGCTCATCACCCAGAGGAGTAGAAGGAGCTAATCTATCAGCCTGCTCGTTACCTCGCATACCTAAATCCTGGATTAGTCATTAGAATAATAGCTAAATTAATCAAACAACGAAAATCTCTGTGTGGGTTCTGGGGCCCTGTTATAGGGAAAACAAGAATAGACCCACTGTCTTCACAAAAGCATGTCATAGGAGTCGACTAATTGGGAGCTTCCTTCAAAGTCGGAGTGCATCTGCCTGAGAGACAAGGAACCAAGTCTGTAAAACAAATGAGTCAGATCTGTAAAACGGACGGGCATGCAACATTCAGGTTCTGAACAGGACTGCAGCCCAAAAAGTGGATCAACACCCAGAACTTTCTGCCAGAGTTTACAGCCAGTGAACGCGAAGAAGAAACAATGAAAGCAATACAGACAGGTTAACAACAAGAAACATAATGCACAAGAGACATGCAGCATCAAATATATTTATTAAATGTAAACATGAGATGTTTTCACATGCAAATTGGAAAATAAATCCAATGTTGGAAAATGTACATAAATCCAATGGAACAGTTATGCATAAGAAAGATAATCAAGACGGAGGAGTGTCAAGACAGTGCAATCAGTCAACCTCATAAACGTCAAAATAAACAAATCAGATCCACCCATCAGTCAATTATAAGCTCATCAAGAGCCCAGTCCTCATAGCTTCCATCTGGCAAATACCTCCTGATGATGAAGGGAATTTTCCGTGCCCTAAGTAGGGTAAAAAACATCATTTTAGGTCACAAATAACAGACATTTCAGACATGTAAATAACAGATATCATTTCAGATAAAGTGAAAAACAGACATCATTTCAAATAACAGATATCCTTTCAGATAAAGCAAATAACAGATATCCTTTCAGATAAAGCAAATAACAGTTATCATTTCAGATAAAGCAAATAACAGATATCATTTCAGATAATGTGAATAACAGATATCCTTTCAGATAAAGCAAATAACAGATATCTTCTTCTTCTTCTTCGCGTTCACCAGCTGTAAACTCTGGTGTAAAGTTCTGGTTGTTCGTCCACTTCTGGACTGCAGTCCTGTTCCAGAACCTGAGTGTTGCGTGTGCATCAGTTTTACAGATCTGATTCAATTGAATGCAGACTGCTGGTTCCTTGCCTCTCAGGCAGATGCACTCCGACTTCAAAGGAAGCTCCCCAGTTAGTCGACTCTTACGACATGCTTTTGGGGAGGCAGTGGGTCTATTCTTGTTTTCCCCACAATAGGGCCCCGGAACCCACACGGGGGATAACATATCATTTCAGATAATGTGAATAACAGATATCATTTCAGATAAAGCAAATAACAGATATCATTTCAGATAAAGCGAATAACAGATATCATTTCAGATAAAGCAAATAACAGATATCATTTCAGATAAAGCAAATAACAGATATCATTTCAGATAATGTGAATAACAGATATCATTTCAGATAAAGCAAATAACAGATATCATTTCAGATAAAGCAAATAACAGATATCATTTCAGATAAAGCAAATAACAGATATCATTTCAGATAAAGCAAATAACAGATATCATTTCAGATAATGTGAATAACAAACATCATTTGGTATAATGTGAATAACCGAGACCATTTCAGATAATGTGAATAACAATCATTTCAGACGTGTTATAAAATTACTTTTTATTTTATTTTGAGCGTGTGTGGCTGCCATAATGAATGAAGTCCAACCCCACAGAGGCTGCAAAACAAGCGATAAACACACAGTGACATAAACTGCCGCCAATCGCATTAGAATAATCTGGGTACAGGTCCCAGAAACCCTGTTCTACCGTTAGGTTACATAAGGGCCACCGACAACAGCCGGGAGTGGGGCTTTAAAATAATGAAAAGCTGAACTAGAGGCCAACCACTTGAGTGATGGATAGATTGAATATCCGAGGCCATAAATACTAGCATCTATGTACCACATACCAAGGCTCGCACCCAATGCCTCTTCAAAACCTGATGCTTAAAGGCAGAACAGGACCAGATAGTAATAAGAAGAAAAGGAAGAAGATAAAAGGTCCCAACAAAGTCAGAAAATTACTTGAAGAAAATATAAAGACACTGAGAATGAAAAGAAAAACAGCAACCTGTTATCAATTTGATATAATCCAACATGACAGTGTAGATGAAATGATCCAGATTCAATAGTAACGACTGCATTATTTCGGAAATAATGTTATTTCAACCTGCAAGACATTGTGTATATATCAATGTGCACATCAACAGTGTGTACATCACAACCTGCAAGACATTGTGTATATATCAATGTGCACATCACCAGTGTGTACATCACAACCTGCAAGACATTGTGTATATATCAATGTGCACATCACAACCTGCAAGACATTGTGTATATATCAATGTGCACATCACCAGTGTGTACATCACAACCTGCAAGACATTGTGTATATATCAATGTGCACATCAACACTGTGTACATCACAACCTGCAAGACATTGTGTATATATCAATGTGCACATCAACAGTGTGTACATCACAACCTGCAAGACATTGTGTATATATCAATGTGCACATCAACAGTGTGTACATCACAACCTGCAAGACATTGTGTATATGTGGAGAGTGTTGTGACAAGATGCCAAAAAGGACTTAGTGCACTTAAGACTATGGCTGCAACTGACATAGAGCAGAGAATGCTTTTCACACTATCAGCACCTGATTCTGTCAGTGGTTGATTATGGTCTAGGACTGCTTACCGTCTCAAAGAGACAGATGGACAAACTGGAGCGCATACAGAACGCAGCTATGCGGGTCATTCTGGGTTGCACCAGAGACACCCCAGTGGTGTGTATGCGATACAGCCTTGGTTTGCCGATTGTTGCAGGTAGGCACAAGGTGCTGCAGGTGAATTTATATCTCAGGGTAGCTGCAGACACAGACCACCCTTTGCATGAAGCTCTGGGTGCAGTTACGGGTCAGCGGCTGATAAGAGGGATGTCATGGATGGCTCAGGCAGAAGACACAAGCAGACAGGTCTGCATCCTTGAGAACATTAGGCAAGGTGAGGAGCGGGTCAAAGTGCCACCTGAACAGTCAGACTTGTGTAGGGTCATAATCACACTTAGCCAGGAATGCAGAGACTGGCCAGCAGGTGTCATGGAGGTGGAAATTCAGCAATAATTTAAGGTAATGCTCACCCAAAGGATTTGATTATTTACAGACGGTCCAGTGTCAAGAGGCAAAAGAAGTGCTTGGGGTTTCTTAGCAAAAGTTAATGGTCCAAGTTTGGTGCAGGAGAGCCTTGCATATGATACTACAACATCCAGCTTATGAATGGTGGTGGAGGCGGTCACTGCAGCTTTCCACTGGTTAGAGAACACGACATACACACACACACATCCTGATTGTAACTGAGGAAGGTCACGACAAGCATAACTTCGTGCAGAGTGGCATGCCTCGCTGAAGAGGACACAGGTGAGGAGCATCGTCTGGATTTTTTCACCGTTGTGTTGGGATATGAACAGGCAGACAGACTGGCTGGCTCTGCACAACTTGGTGGAAGGAATACTGATGCATGATAAGGCAGACGTGGTTAGTGCCTTGTGGGAGAGCATGTTAGTTCAGAGGAGCAGATGGATCACCACAGTCTGGGGAGATTGATGCTGGGGAGAGTGACGGGAGGTTCTGGCAGAAGCTCAAGGCTCAGAGGAAAGGCAAGATGGACGTTTAATCAGAATGCTACTGGCACTATTAGTATCGGGACTCTTCGCTGGCTGCTGAAAATGTGGACATAGCGCTTTTGGGAATGCCCCGAGTGCTGTGATGTCATTTCTTGAATCAAGTCAATTACTGTAGAGATAAATCAGTATAATACCCATTATGCTACAACAACCTTTGTAGAGCTTTGGGAGAGAACTAAACATGCTTCAGTGGAACAAGAGTTGAGGAAAAGACGCTGGCGCTGGACACACACTGAGAAAACAGGAGAACAGCATAACCAGAATGTCTTTGCATTGGAACCCACAGGGGCACAGGAATAAAGGAAGGTCAAAAAACACATGGAGAAGAGAGCTGGAAATGAAGTTAGAAAGATGGGGAGGACATGGGGAGAGCTTCATGCAATGGCGAAGGATAGAACGACTTGGCGTGAGTGGGTTGAGGGCCTATGCTCCATTGGGGGATAGAAAGGCAGAAGAAGAATTATATTAAAGAACATTCAGAACACTATGAACTCACTTCAGTTCCTTCATTGCAATAGCCAATGGATCAGTTTCTCCATCCACCTCCACCATGACTGGAGCACACATCCTGTAACAAGAAACAACCAACAACTGTCAACACTAAATAAGCAATCAATATATGCAAACTGTCGACTGTAAATTATCAACTAACATATCAAACTGTTAACAGGTGCAGAGGGAGACCGAGAGAGAAGATGCTGGAATGTTTGACATCATGGCAGGGAGGGTCATCTGTTTCACAGTTGACTGAAAGTACATAAGACACAAGGCTGTGGATAGACCCGACAACCAAACACCATATAGCATGGACTTTGAGAAGAAGTCAACACTCAGAGTAAACAAAACCAGAAATTAACGCTAAAAACGTAAATAATATAAACAAATTGTCAACACATAAATCAACAAAATAAAACTCAGCAATCACACATTAAAAACAGTTAACAACAAGGGAGCTACGGTAGTACAGCAGCTAGATACCTGTTGCTGACCCAAAGGTCTTGGGTTCAGACCCACGTATTTTTTAAATCACCTGTCTGCCAGGTCAACCAAGGTGGGTACCAGGCAAAGTCCTGGGAAGTAAAAGTGGCCTGCATGATGCCATGGTCATCTAAATAGTGACTATTGGTCTTCTAGCATCATATGCTCAATTAGCCACTGGCATTTCAGGAGCTGCTATAGCGCAGTTGATAGGAGGCTCGCTTTAAAATCCAGCTGCGACTCGCTGCAGCCACGGTCAGTGTACGAAACTGGGCGGTTCCCGGGGTTCACCCAGCCTCTAGGAAATGGGTACCAGAGTTGACACTCTGGGGTAAATGGAGGAACGTCGCTGTAGCTACAGAGTTACGTGCGGACGGCGACACAGGCGGACTGTTTCTTATCAGCTGTCTGTACTGGTGGCAGAGCACTTATGCTTTATAACCATGTGCAATGACGCTGGTTCACATCTCCCGACTTAACCTTTTTTTTTTTTATTAAAGCGTTCTCTACTTTTTAATTAAAAAAATTGTAATGTTAGCAAAATCAAATCTCAATCAAAACAAGCAAGGCAGAATAGCAAGCTTAACTGGAAATGTCAGGGGTAGTGAGAATACTTTAGATCTTTTTTCCAGGCTATGCCAGTCTGGCGGGTAATGAACACACAGACTGGCCTGGATCTGCACCAATGGGAAGGGGTGTGGTGAACTGATACATGACAAGGCAGATGTGGTCAAGGCCCTTTGGAAACAACCAACGGAATCAGTAGATAGAAGCAGGGTTCATAGCCAAATTTACCAATCAATTTCAAGGCTTTTCAAGGTCTTTTTTCAAGGTCTCCTTAGTTTTTTTCAAGGTTGTCTCGGTGTAATACTGAAACAAGATTTTTGCTTTGTTCAAGGGTGTACTGAGCACACAAGGTACTTCATTTGTGCCACATGTGTTGGTATACCAGCACAGATATAATTATCATGTAGCATTTCCTTTGTCCTGACAAAAAAACCTTGGTCTCTCACCAGCTCTCCCGCCTCATGTACTTTTTTATACTCAAGGAGTCACTTATATCCTGTGCCCATCTTCGTGTTGGTCGGCCCCTGAGCTTGATATAGTGTTTGACATTTTTTTTAGGGCTTGGTGGTAGAGGGCAGCAAACTGAAGTCCTGTCTGTTCTGGACCTGGTACCTGAGAGGGTTGGGGAGAGAGAGAGAGTCATGAAGAGAGAGGAAGACACATGCTGGGGTAGGCTGGGAGAGACAGTGTAAAGATGGACAGATGAAGGTAGAGAAAAGAAGGAAAAGAAGTCTGGCGAAGGAGGAAAAAATGAGAGGGAGGGATGCAGACATGATGAGGAAAAGTGGGGAAGGGACAGCGAAAGACAAGAGAGGGAGACAAATACAGAAAGAGGGAATGCAGATACAGAGATGGGCAGATGAAAAGAGAAGGAAAAAGGGAACGAAACAGAGATATGGAAGGAGGAAAATATGACAAAGAGTTGAAAGAAGGGAGACAGAGGGAGAGAGAACTGACAGGGTGAGAAGCAGATGCAAGAAGAGAGAGATGTAGACATAAAGGAGAGAGAGACAAAGGGACAGCACAGAGAGGCAAGCAGACAGAGGGAGAGAACCAAAGAAAGAGAAAAAAGGCAGATCAGGAGAATGGGAGGGAGGTATACAAAGAGGAAGTGATGAAGGGAGGCAAACAGACATAAAGCAAGAGAGAGAGAGAGAGAGAGAGGTGGGTAAGGAAGGCAGTGACAAACACAGATTAAGAGAGAGGGGCAGAAAGGGAGACAAGATACATCAAAGAAAAGAAAACAGCCACCTACTTCCCCCCCCCCACCCCCCACACACACAATTTCAAGTGTAGTGGACACAACCACTAGGAAAAGATAGTTATGGGGCAAAAAAATACATAGATGAACCAGTAAAAAAATGGTGGGGGGGGGGGGGGGGGGAGAGAATGAGAGAGGGGAGCGGGTAAGGAAATCTAGAGAAAATGAAAAGACAGGATGGAGAGGAGACAAAGAAGAGATGGGACAGGAGAAAGGGCAAGGAAAGGAAGAGAGGAAGAATGGAGAGAGAAAGGAGAATAGTAGAAGATCATAGGAAAGAGAAGGGGTGAGAGAAGAAAGGTAAGACACGGTTGTGGATGTGGGGGGTGTAAAAACAATGAGTGCCAAAAATAGAATTAGGAAATCTCTAAGTGAGGCCACTTTTCCGGTTCCTACCCTCTCCCAATGTGAATGTGGCTGTGGTCCATAAACAACAGTGCTAACCCCTACTGCCCCTTGCTTGTCCTATCTGTGTGTGACAACAATAATTAAATTTTCTTACACTTAAGGCTGGTGACCTGAGAGCCAAGGTCATTTTATGAAGAAGAAAAAAAGTCCAGGGGATCCTAACCCACCACTGGTGGAAATTAGAGAAGTTTACCCACACACATAAATAGGTCAGGGCAGCAGTGGACTTCGTTTTATTTCTGGTTTTCCAATTACAGAAAGGAGGGGAGAGAGGAGGTGGTGGAAAGTGGTGTAGAAGGCTGAGGTGGTAAGGGTGAGACAGAGAAGGTGAGAGAATAAAGTTTAAGAAAATAAAGTGGGAATGAGACAGGGAGAGAAAGAAGGGAGTGAGAAATAAGATGAGATATAGAGGGAAGAAGGTAGCAGGAAGGGGTGCACTCCCTCCCCTAGGTGTCATCAATGTGGGAGGAGGAAAAAAAAGGGAAGAGGGGGGGGGGGGTGTGACGGCAAATGTGTTTTTAAAAGTACACATATATTTAATGTGTGGGAGGGGGGAATGGTGGACATGAAATGTTCTGCACTAGGCAACACATAACCTACACCAACTGAAGGTATGGAGAAAGAGAGAGAGAGAGAGAGAGAGAGAGAGAGAGAGAGGGGGAGGGAGTGACAAAGAGAAAGAGAGAGGAAAGCAGTGACACAGACAGGCAGAGAGTGAGGAACAGGTAGGACAAAATGTGAGGGGGCGGGAAGGGAGATGGACAGAGATTAAGGCCGCTAGGAAAACAAACACATCAAAAGAAAATATCCACCATGTTCACACTGAATGACCCCCCCCCCCCCCCCAACACAACTTCCTGTGTACTTGAGTTGCTAGGAAGAGTTATGGGGCCGCACATTTACTAAACATTTAAACAAGAAATAAAATAGGAAAAAGGGGGAGGGGGACAGGAAATGAGAGAGTAAAAGGAAAGATAGAGAGAAAGAGAAGAAGATGAAGATCAGAAGGGAGGGTTAGAAACAATGCAGGAGACGGGAAGGAAGGAGCAATAGGTAGAAGAGTGAAAGAGGGAGGGAAGAGAGAGAGAGGGGTGAGACAACAGAAGAGGGAATCTCGGGGAATTACAATACTGATCACCAAACACACTGTAAAGATAAATCCAGGCCAAAAATAGAACTGGGAAATCCAGCTGCAGTCACTTTGTATAGTCCCAATGCCATCTCTAATTAATAGAGAAGGCCATGCTTAGCCCCCACCACGGCGACTCTATAAATACAACTGAACAGAGCCCCACCATCTCTCAATGTAATCCTTTCTAGACCACGGCCATAAACGATTTATACTGTTCATTCTGCCAGACTTGCTAGAAACAAAGGCACACACACACACACGCGAGACGGAATCTGCTACTTCCCGCCCCATGCCACACCGCTGCTGTCTGCATGTATTCATGATCTGCAACACAGCCCGCCCTCCCCTGGCCTTTAACAAGCCATTTCGGCTGAAAATAGCCAATAATCAGCTGCCCTCACACCTGAAACGACAATACAAAGAAAGTAGCCAAAAACTAGCCAAATGGCCAAAAAAGCCAAATGGCTCCCCCAAAATTGCTTGTGCTGAAAACACAGGATTTCTGACGATTTCATTGCCGCGGTCAAAATTCACGGCTTTTCAAGGTCGGAATGTCTTTTATAAGCTAAAAATCCCGGTTCAAGGTCAACGAAAAAAATCCCGGTAATTTCCCGGTCCACTACGAACCCTGTAGAAGATTATTATGGCCTGAAGAGAATGAGGCATCTGGGTACTTGTTTTAACCATCTGGTGGTCTGACTGAATGGTCAAAATGCTGCGAGAGACTAGAGTTTGATCCTCTGTAAAGGATGGAAACTGTTTTCTGTCAGGACCAAAAAAAAAGTCCCAACCCTAACAGTAAATGGTGGCTGCACTAGCCATGCGACAACAAAACACCAGGCTCACGATCACATGGAATAAATAAATAATCAAAAGATAAGAAGAATGGTTACAGATATTAATTAAATTTTTTTTAAATCTTACGCTATCTGCAGGGCTCGAGTTCCCAGTACTCGAGCCCTCTCATATTTGGTCATGTATTTTGTTGTTATGCGTTTCTGTGGTTCCACTTGTCCAGCTGAGCCATCAGTGATCACCTCAATTCTGTCACCCTGGTCAGAAAAAACAAACCCAAGAAACATTGAAAACCCTTAAAGAATCATCCTCCTCCTCATAAAACAGGTGTTTTGCAGAACACTGTTCTCACCACAGTCACCTGAAAGAAGCTAAACTCAGTCTTTTGCCAGATCTCCCACCTCATGCACTTACCTCCCCAAGGTATCTCTTAATATCCTGTGCCAATATTCATTATTAAACCGTTCTTTCCAATCCGCGGTGGCACCTAAGAAAAACCTTAATTCAAAATCCAACAGTTTGAAAGGGCCTCTTCCAGTCTGAGTTTAGGGGTCCCATTTAGGGTTGGGGAGGTGCCAAGATCACAGCTTGGCTCCAAACCATGACAAAAGTTGCCAACCACCTTTCTGTATTCTTCTGCGATCATCCCAAGACGTAAATGCATTGTGCCTGTTCACAACATGGCAGCGATATTTGCACCTTTCAGCCGACACATCCAATTTGTTCAGGAATTTGCTGTCTGAGTTAGCCTAGAAGATGGGTCTTAAAAACTAAAATATAAAATCCAGCACAACTGATCACCAGACATGAACGTTCTTGCTCTAAAAAGACACCAGTTCAGCTTTTACGTGTTTTGGCTGTCATGTCTTTGGGCAGTGCCCAGTATGCCTGTATGACAACTTTGGTACTGGCTGCAACTGCAGTGTGCAGATACTGTCGGTAAAATTACATATTTTGCCTTGATAATTTTTTAAAAGATATTCTGGGTTTTTAAAAAAATGGGTTTTGTTTTAAACTGCAGATTCACTGTGATGTCATATAATTTCCTTGTTAGATAACATTGCTCTATGTGCCAAAAGGTCCAAAGCCACTTTTAAATAGTCAAAGGGAGGGAAATCAGTGAAATTTTTGCTCTGTTTGAATTTAGTGATTACTCCCCTTCATGTAGAAAAAAAAAACATTTTCCTGATTTAGCAGACACAGCGATCTGGGTAAAAGAAACTTCATAATTTTTTTTTAATGACGTAATATCGTCACAGGTTTAGAGAACAGCTGCCTGTCTTCTTAGTAGTCTAAGGTTCAATTCTTCTCCCTTCCCCCACTTTTTTCTGGATAATTATAAAAACTGACCAATGATTCATGACAATTCCCGCTCAGGTGATGTGTTTATCTGTACAGATGGCTCTGTGTTGAAGGGTAGACGAAGTGCATGGGGGTTCATAGCAAAAGCGAATGCAACAAAGCCTGGCAAATGATATCACAACATCTAGTTTGAGAATGAAGGTGGAGGCAGTCACTGCTGGTTTAAGAATCAGCTGTACACACAGGCTGTGATTGTGACTGACTTGGAGCATGTTGAGAAAGGTGGAAACGGATGCTCCATGCAGAGTGGCAAGCATCACTTCAGAGGTCCTGAATAGTTGGCATCTTTTGGATATTTTCTCCAGGTTGTGTGTGTTGGGAGATGAGCAGACAGATAGACTGGCACTACTATATGGTGAATTTATGTATGACAAGCTTAATGTTGTGAGGGCACTCTGGTAGTGAGCGATCAGTACGAAGGCACAGGCAGATCATTACGGTGTCAGGAGAATGGCGCTGCGAGGAGTTACAAGGGGATCTGGCCGACGCTCAACATTCAGGGGAAAGATCAGACGGATATGCGATCAGACAGTTACTGGAACTCTTTGCTTGTTGATGAAGAAGGGGGACAGAGCGCTTATGGGAGTGTCACAAGTGCTATGTTGTTGATTCTTAATTCAACATTCACAAATACAAAGACTAAATTTTTCCTGCTTCTTATTCTTTTCTAGTTTCTTATGGCAGTTTCATAGAAATAAGGATAGGATGCATATTTTTTAAACAAAATTTAAAGAGAAAATTTCATTTGTTTAAACATTCTTATGGGGTGAAAGGGTTAGAAGACTGGATCGAAAGAGATAAAAATAACCGAAAATGTACCTGTTCATTGTTAATGGGCTCATCAAGTGGTTCATCATCTTCTACATCTGGCCCATCTTCAAAACTTGGAAGGGAAAAAAGAAACAATATTTATCCTTCTTATGATTTTTTTTTTTATCTGCTAATGTAACATGACAGTTAATAAGCACTGACTGACTTAATACAAGTAAAGTTCGTTGAAAATAATAGTACTGCAACTCAAGTTCAGGAACAAGACTAAAGTCCAGAAGTGGACTCACAAACTTTCCACCTCAGTTTACAGTCGCTGAATACCAAGAATAGGAAGTAGCCATTAGAGAGAATGCCAGAAAGTAGAGACAAAAAAATTGCAAACAAGAAGAGCTGGATTGATCTAGAGTAGACCGAACACATAGATCAAAAAAAGGTGATGGAGAGATAATATAGACAGACCTACAAACACTTGGAGTCACCCACCAACAATCATGTCACACAAGGCCTCTAATCAGGAATGTGCTGAAATCTAATAAGGTGAGGTAAAAATTTTGGATATCACAGCTTAGCTGTAAACCACAATGTGTCCACAGCAGACTTATAACAATGCTTCGGAACCTGGTTCTTATTAGGTACTTTACTCAAATTTTCAGCTGCTTTTTTTTTAATGCAACTAGCATAGTTGGATAGTTAAGTCAGGTCCCTTTTCCACACCGTTAGGCCTTTTGGAAATATATGGCTAGACCTGGGCACAAGCCTCCATCGCCTAATTTTTATACATTATATTTTGTGTTTGGGTATTTTGTTATTAAATCAGCTGTTACTGATTAGTCAAAACCCAGGTCATCGAATTCTTCTTTCTTGCCTGCTGTATCCGACAGGACCGAGGGTAGCTTCTTGGAATCTTCTGTTGCTTGGCATGAAAGGGACCTAAATGTTTTTGTAAGTTTTAAATAACAATTTACATAATAATATGGCAATTATCAAACTTATCCTTCCCCTCCTATTCATGCTGCGGCGGGTCGCATGGCCTGTCCTATGTTGTGGAGGTGTCATGTATTCTTCATTTTCAACAGTTTAACTGTTGCCTCTCTTCTTGTGTTGTCACCGCTCACTTTTGTCTTCTTCTTCTTCTTCGATCCTTCTGTCAGAAAACTTATATCAGGAGGCCGGTAGCCTTTATGAAAGCTATCGTGCAATCCATATCCTCTCGTGTACCATACAGTTTTGTCTTCAGTGTGGTTGGAACAGGCCAGATTGCGTCTCTGTTGTCAGCATACTGTTGACAGTGTTGGAGCACATGCTCAGCATTTTCGGGTGCCACGCTGCAGGGACACGTCTCCGTATTTCCTTCACCAAAAAATTTGAACATATGTTGACGAAATCTGTTGTGCCCTGTCCTTAGTCTGAATATAATACACTGTCCCTCTCTAGAGAGGCGATGAAGTGAGTCTTGGGGAGAAAATCTGGTGTGGGTATCCAGCCACCTTTCCTGGATACTTTTGTGATTACTTCCACGTTGTGCTACTTGCCTGATGGTTCAGTAGTATGGAAAATGTGATGTTTTCGATACCCACGAATAGTCGCACATTCAGCGCTTTTCCCTAGAGTTCTTTTTACTTGTACACAGGTGCCTGCAGCGGCTCAAAGAGACTCACGACAACACAAACTTCCACAAACATTATATACAGCAAGCGAACAACAAAGGAAGCTATCTGGGAATGGGCAGCGAAGGAACTTGTCATGTGGGCGAGCTCATGAGTTCCTATTATATCATTTTCTGACATTTTTAGCTGAAATGTAGTTAACAAATACAATAAATTTGGTCCCAATATCACTTTGAAAATGAACCAAACCAGAAGTAGAGCTAGTCACCCGAATTCTACTTCTCGTTTGGTTTGATTATTAAAATTTTATTTTATTTTATTTAACCGGTACATTATGCGATAACCGGCCCACAATGAGAGTGACTTCCCTTCCCACTAATGCCTTGATCTGGTGCAGCGCCTGCACTATGTCGCAGGGGTTTCAGGAGTAGCAAGTCTTATTTTACTCCTTGTCGCAGTACTCTATAGACAGCTACGTTATTTTCGCATTGCTGGGATGTATTTTTAGAAGTGACTTTTTAAAAGCCATGTGTACAAATTACAAGATAAAACTTTCCAGTTATTCGTTGAAACAATTGCAGAGTTTAATTTTACCAGAAATAAGAGAAAGCTAGGGGGAAAGTTATCTGAAGGTCTATTGGCTCTCCTTTAAATACCGATCCCTAGCTGGAAAGCCGACGGCCGCTTAGTGGGAGTTCACTCCCTTGGCTGCATTGCAAATACGGAGCGGACAAGTCACGAATCAAAACAGACAGTGAGGTCGACATCAGGGCTGCCAATGCTTAGGTGTTTCCCCAGATCTGGGTGTTTATTTGACTCCTCGGGGACATCTGGGTTTTTTTGTTTAAGTAAATATATCCTTATATAATGGGGCTATTAGTTGCCACGGATGTGACTCCTGCAGATCTGTATGCCTTAATGACCAATAAATTTGCGTGGTTAGGGGTAGGGTAAGGGTTAGAGTTAGGGGTAGGGTTAGATGTGACAATTTTGAGTTTCAACTAATCGCACAGTGACATACACACGCAAACAATTGAAGGACTGTGGATGCTACTCACACGGACAATTCGCCATTAATTGGGCACCAGCCGCGCGCTATTGCCGTCATATTTAGGAGAACTCCAGTGGCGCCACTCCCACAAGCATCAGATTGTCGGCCATTATGTGGAACTCCTGCGTCACAATTTTCACATCTAACCTTACCCTAACCCTACGCAACCGTATGATGATAGGTAAGTATGTCATTTGTTTCGTTCCCACTTTACGGTCCGTATTTGCACTGCAACCAAGGGAGTGAACTCCCACTAAGCGACCGTCGGCTTTCCAGCTAGCGATTGTTATTTAAAGGAGAGTCGGTCTATTTACTCCTGAGAAGACTAACTAAAATGACATGACACACGCTCTATATAGCCACCTACATGCTTTATGTATTCAAATAAGCATATGAGAGAGAAAAAAACTAGTTGTCGATTTTGCAATCTCTTAATTAATAATCATTTTTTTTTTAAACAAGTTCAAAAGTCTGGTTAATTTTTCTAATATTTTTATTGATGTCACAGGCTAACTTCTAGTCTATTCTAACTTCTAATTGCCATTCTTTTCTTACAGGAATAACAGATTAGTAACTAAGATTAGTGATTTACATTTTAAATGAATTTCAATTAGTTAGTTTGATTTCTTTTGTAGCTCAATATTACTATTATTTATTCAATCCGGTACCTTGCTTTCGCTTTATTTTACAAACAAAAATATTTTTTTTTTTCTTATTTCAATTTTTAAATTAAATTATTTTTGCTTTGATTATGATTATGCGCGCCATTTGTTTGTCTTGTATATTATTCACATGCAGATCTGAAAACTACGGAAAATTAACCAGTGTTATAAATTACATTAACAACCAATCTCTTCAGAATACTCAGCGGTGATTTGCCATTGTCATTATTATTTATGTTCAATAATGTTATAAAGAAAGTCCATTATAAACTATAAACAGAACTGAGAAACTCCTGATGTGATCATATCATATCGATAAATGGTAACTGATTAACATCCATAACTTTCCACTCAAATTATAGTTTATACTTTTAAATACTCATCGTTAATTCAAACAACTGGCTTTTTTAAAAGATCATTATCATCAAACATTAAGGCAATGTGTACGTAAATACTGCAAATTATTAAAAGATGCGTTACATACTCGTCACCCTCAAATTCGTCGCCATCCATGTTGACCTGCGAAATAACATTAAAAACTCGGGACGGGAACCAGATATGGAACGAAATAATGTACCCATGGCCTACAAGCTATTTCGGGACTAATCAGTAGATGGCCGATGCCGACCCGCAGAAGTCTCTAGCAAATAGCCTGCGGATCATTGCCAATTACATTGTAATAATGATTCACCCCCCCCCCCCTCTTTTTTTTAAAAAGAAGCCTATGGCGCAGCAACTCCAAGTTAAAGTAACAATTTGAGATCATGCATCTTTCCCGTGGCAACTTGTCGATGTGAGTAACTGACTCAGTCTTTGAAGAAGAAAACAGGAGCTTTTGAACTGAAATGTTACAGACAAATTCTTAGAATGCCAAGGACCGGGAAGAATACAACCGTCAACATTCTGCACATGAAAGAGAACTGGCTTGTAAACAGCCTCCTCTCTCAAAAGCTGGGGTATTTTGGGAATGTCAAACGCCATGGTCTGGAGAAAACGGCGATGGAAGGTGCAGTTTCCGAAAAACAAGGCGGAAGTTGACCACCGCGAATGTGGATACAGGATATTGAAGATACTTGGCTATGAAAGCACACGGGGCAGGAGAATTTGCTAGAAAAGGAGAGACTTTCAAGCTTGCATCGAAGAGAGCGACGTTCTGTATAGGACAGGCTGCTTGAATGATCTTTTTTTAAAGCTGGGTTCGGCCTTAGGCTTGTGACGATCTTCATTTCAACATTTTGGCCCCTATGTGTTGTTCGTACATCACGAGTGATGAAGATCACGTTAATCCAAAGTCCAAGTCCTTTTGAGAAAAAAATGAAAAGGTCGACCACTTTCATACTGGTGCTAGCTAGCCAAGGCTGATAACTGTCTCCGCCTATATTTGTGGTCTGGGTTATTTGCGTCACTTTCGTGACTAAATTCTAGTATTGCGCCATTTCTGGGCTCTATGCTTCCTTCCGAGTCAGGCCGCGCGTCCTCCGCCCTGTTAGCTGTGCGTTTCTTTCCTTTTCGTATCTGGTGTTTCCTCTTGGTGTCATCTCTTTCTGATTTGGCCAGGCGTATCTCGTCGTAGAGCGAGCTTTTCCACACAACGTCATTTGGACCACCATTTACAGTATTAAAATTTTGAGTATTTTATTAATCCAAAGTAGTATTGATCAATGAATATGGGTACACATGTGGCTGATTAGTCCAACGTGAGCCTGGAGAGTTTTTGACTAGTGCGGACAACAGATAGAGAGTGGGATTAACAGTACGATTCTTTCTAGTCTACCCCCGTGTCTCTGCTTGTGCAACCTCCGCTGCCTGACAGGCCGTTGCACCAAGTCCGAGGGACATACGCCATTCAGAACGGTCTTGCGCAATAGCCTCCCACTTCGCCGTGTTGATGCCAAAAGAATTGAAAGCAGTCTTGAGAGTTTGTGGCCCCTATGTAAACTAAGGCTGAATAGCCTTTACCTAGTGTGCGCGCGAAGTATTTTATACGAGATATTTGGAGGGGGAAAAAGAAATATAAGTGTTGATATTCAACATACGATTTATGTAAACTAAGGCTGAATAGCCTTTACCTAGTGTGCGCGCGAAATATTTTGATAAGAGATATTTGGAGGGAGGAAAAAAGAATTATAAGTGTTGATATTCAACATACGATTTAGGTAGGAACAGAATTTACTATGCAAATGTTCGCTATCAGTAACTTTTGACTACTTTCGCTGATTCTTGTGTGTTTTACCTTATCTTGAGATTCTTGTTTCCAGTTGTCCTTTTTAAAAATAAAGTACCACGTCAGTGTGGGTTCCGGGGTCCCTTGGAAAGGGGGGGAGGGGGGGTGGAGGTGGGCCTACTGTGCCCAAACACGCGTGTCGTAAAAGGCGACTAATCTGAGGCTTTTCCCTTGAAGTCGGAGTATATCTGCCTAAGAAGCGACGAACCAACAGTCTGCATACAAATAAGCCAGATCTATAAAATGGACATTCACGCGAAACCCAAGTTCTGGAACAAAACTAAAGTTAAGAAGTGGACGAAATTGTTGTCAGAGTTTACAGCCAGTGATCGCTAAGAAGAGATAAGTGCGATATCTTTATGTGAATATTAGAATATCCACATTGCTGTGTTATGAAAAGACTTGTAATAAAAGGAGAACTGTAGAAAAACAAATCAAAGGAGACCAAAGAAATATTTAGGTCACATTAAAGGACAAGACACTTTTGGTAAAAACAATACACACACAGAAATACATTGGTAAAAACAACACACACATACATACATTGATAAAAACAACACACATTTATCAGTAAAAAACAACACATTCACACATACAGTGATAAAACACACACATACATTGATAAAAACAACACACACACACAACCACATACATTCGTAAAAACAACATACACATATACATTGGTAAAAACATACACACACTTGGCGGACAAGTTAAAGACAAACGGACAAGACGTAGACAGCGATGCAAATGGGAGGACCGCATACAGAAATGGAAGAAATTTAGTCACAGAATATGTAAAACCAAAGCTAGACACGCAGAGTGCTGAGACAAATTGAAGTCTACCTTCTTCGTTTCTGAGACAGCACTTGCTTGACTGAGTGCAAGAGACAATTGCTGGAAATTGGCTGGAGCCACGTATCGCTAATGAACTCGTTTCTTCTTCTTCTTCTTCGATCTTTCTGTTAGAAAGCTTATATTAGAAGACCTGTAGCCTTTATGAAAGCTATCGTGCAGTCCATATCCCTTCAGGTACCATACAGTTTTGTCTTTATTGTGGTCGGAACAGGCCAGACTGCGTCTCTGTTGTTAGCATACAGTTGACCGTGTTGGAGCACATGCTCAGCATTTTCGGGTGCCACGCTACAGGGACACGTCTTCATCTCATAGGAGTTCTATGGGGTTCGTGTCTGATGACACGGCTAGTCACATAATGGTCTGAGTGTTGCTGTTAGCGAGGAACTGGGTAGTGAGCTGTACCACATACAGTCTAGCGTTATCCTGCTGGGGAAAGAGGGTGGGGGGGGGGGGGCGACCTTGCAGCTACAAGTTGCTTTATGCGAGAATGAAGAATTTTGGCGTTCAGGCGTTCTTTATTTTGCACCAGGTCACTTCTTGCCATGAAACTGATCTCTCCCCCTATGAGTAACTCGCCACCATCACGTGGAGAAAAAAAAGACAGCCCCGGCCCCGATAGTCTTCGATATAAAGGCATCGACAAGCTACTGCAAGTGTGTATGGATAACCTGTGCAGAGCATACAACGACAGCATCCGCAATGGAACTGTTTCTGAAAGCTGGCTTTACAGCCATCTTTTTCTACTGGCAAAGATGCTAATCAGCAACTATAGAGTGACTGTATTCCAGCCAAAACTAAATCGACGTAGAAGAGGCAGATCTTGGATAGGTCATTGTGGAAAATGCCATTCAGCAGATTTGTCACTTTCCAGACATTCATCTAGGAAACGTATGGGTGCATTTGCAAACTGCTTCAAACATCAGCATCACCATCCATATCACCTTCGACCTATGCTTCAGAGAACAGATTCCCAGCACAATGAACTCTTTAGTCAAAACGCTAATACAAAATCCATAGAAAATAATCTTTCAGTGCAGGAGGTCCTGGGTAGTTAGCATCCTTTGGATATTTTCTCCATGTCATGTTGGCGTGTTGGGAAATGAGCAGGCAGATACACTTGGTGGTGAACTGATGTATGACAAGCTGGATGTTGTGAGGGCATTCTGGGAGCGAATGAACAGTGCCGGGGCATAGATTGATCATTACGGTCTGTGGAGAATGGTAAACTAGGAGTTACAAGGGGATTTGGCCGACGCTCAACACTCAGGGTAAAGTCGAGACGGATATACAATCAGACAGTTACTGGCACCATCGGAATTTTAACTTCGCTTGCTGCTGAAGATAGGGATGGAGTGCTTATAGGGAGTGTCCCGAGTGCTGTGATGTCAACATTCAACATTTAGTCAAAACGCTGACTTATGAAAACACAAACGTCAATTATGCTGTGGTTTATATGGATAGATCGGTCACCAAGGGCAAGCGAAGTGCATGGGAAGTTTACTGTGAGCTCACCAGGAAAAATCATTAAAGAGATGAGCAATTTAATGAATATGCTCAAGAAAATCACAGACGGCTTTATCACACATGAAAGGATTCTCTCATTAAATGCTTCTCAAATAAAATTGTATGTCTGTATTGTCTTTCCTCTTAATGAAGAGTGTCTCTGCCAGATCCCCCCACTCACTATCTGCTGCAACATTCTCTCCAGAACATGAGGATCTGTTTGCTCTTTTTGTTGTTGTTGTTGTTGTTGCAATATTCACTTTCTCACAAAGAGCAGTGACCACTTCTAGCTTGCTAGGCATCAATCTGTCTATCAGTTCTTCTTCTAACACATCTGCATATCGCTAAGAAAATATCCAAAGGATGGTCGCTACCCAAGGCCTCTTGCCACTCTGCCCGAAGTATGTATTTCTTTACTTTTTAAGTACATAACATCACTTTAAAAAAGTTTGAAAACACATACACACACAAACAACGAATCAATATTTCTTTGAGAAATAACATAACCATCTTTATTCTAAGTAATATTGAACCCCCACTGCAGTGAAACAACCAAATTTATAATTGTAGTATTTAACAAAACAAACACGTAAAATCACCCAAATAACCTCACCACGAGACGTTGACAAATTGCAAAACAAATTTCCCTTCACTTGAATATCTCCCAAAGTAGGGTTGTATTTAAGATGTATGGCGTCCCATTTTTTCTCGGCAAAAACTTCAGCATGGCTACATATTTACAGCAAGTAGGTACAACAACATATACTGCTCTGTGGACATAAATCTGTTCATTACAAAAATATACTGTTTAAAAAAATAAGTCCTTAGGTTTCACATGAACATGACATTAAGAAGGTAGTAACATACAGCAAAATGAATGCAAAGTAAACACACTTGCTATCAAATCATGGCCAAACTGAGAAGCCAC